CCGAAATAGCTATCACTTCTACCATTTTTTCAAATTGTTGTTGCTTTTCCACAATAAATTTTTCATTTAAAAATGGCCTCGAGCTCATTATAAAATTGTTTAATAAAAAAAAAAATAATGAAAATCAAAATAATAAAAAATAAAAACGAAAATAATAAAAATAACATTTATGGACATAAGTCAAGAGAAACAAACAAAAAATTGGCGTGATCGATTTATTTTAAAGCATACCTCCCATATGAACCTAACCTCAAAAACTACCAAGAAGGTGAAGGGAGACGAAAGAAACATAGTTTTTGTCCCTCAAAAGTGTCAAAGTGAGCATTCGTAAAGTGTCATTTTTGTCTGCTTATACATATTTAGTAAAATATTTGGTCAATTTCCCTGATTTTTTCTCCACTTTGTCTAGTATGTACTATATTTTCGTATGAAATTATAACAAAAACAATAAAAACAAAAGTTATAAGAACACATTGCTTAAGTAAACCAAAACCTCGAATCAGTTTTAGTTGAATAAAATTCTTCTGACTTTTGATGCTTTCGTTTTGTATAAAACTGCCATCATATGAACTATCCTATAAAGTCAAATTTAAAAAAAATTTTATTTTGAATTGATTGGTTATATTTTTTGGCGCTATAGTACAGAGGTGGGCAGCTTCGGCAGAGCAGCGTGCAATTGATGGCACTGTGTGCGTGCGAACAAGCAGTGCGGTTGAATGAGGCTTCCGCTGTCTTACGCTGCCCAGCTCTGCTATGGGACCTTAAAAAAGAGCCGCACTGAGTTGTCAATCACACCTTGAACTAAACCATTCAAATATAAAATTGAAAATTGAATATTCAAAATACTTTATTTTTTCCGCCGTAATACCACTGTGCGTCGTCGTAGTCCGTTCTTTATGTGGTGTCGTGTGTAACGCACGAAAGCACGAGTTGCATCAGTAGTGGTGGTGATACGACCGACAGGTATTGAGACAACTAAACACCTTGTGTGCGTCTGCCTTACACAAGCGGCAGCAGTGTTCGAAGTAGCAGCATAAAAGGGACTCCAACATAACTGAACCACCACCGCCTGCCTGTTGCCTGTACTGCCAGGAGGCTTTGGCTGGTAGCTGCACAATTTCTGGGCCGCTACTTAATGCTCCATATGCGCCACCAGAAAAAAAAAACAGAATACTCGTAATAATAAAAATAAAGATAAATAAAATAATACAGCGCGCACAACAACAATAAAAGACACAAGCGTTTCTTGCTGCTTGCCCCTTGTATCTTTTCCTTGCCTTGCTCCTGCCTGCCGTTTGTTTTATGCCCAAACTGTGGCGTGGGAAGATTTTTCTTTAGGCTCAAACACAGCGTAATATTTCCTCTTCTTGCTGCGCTTTACTACCACACTCCTCGCCCCCCTTTCGCATTCCCTGTTGGGTTCTGTGGCATGCATGGCGTGGCGTGTTTTGTATCTTGTCTTGATCACTGGCATTCTTTGTTGATCCCTTTGTAGTTATTCTGCTTTGTTGTTGCTGTTTGGTGCAAGAACCCAACACAGTCAGCCAGCCTCTCCCCAAAAAAATGTGGAGTAGAAAAAATGTTTTATGCGCGCAAGGAAGGAGTTAGGGCAACCGAAAAATTTAGGAAGAAGAAACAAAAAGAAGAGCAACAGCTCAGCGGTTACTGGACTGCTTAGTTGAAGATTCTACATAGTTGTGTGTGAGTGTGTGTGTAATAGAGGTTTGGATGGTCGAATTGTTTTAGATGTTGTATCTACTCGTATGGCTGGTGTGTTAAAATTAGATTTAAAGAACTTTTTCGCCGATTAACTAAAAAAATATATATATTTAGAATTTTTCCATGCAACTTAAGTTGACTAATGGCCAGTTTTTGAGTGCACGCCCGTGGTTTGAATTAATTTTAAACGCCCGATCTGGCTGGTTTAAACTAAGATCAGCCAATCAGATGTCAGCCAGCTGTTCAATTTAAACTCAGTTTACTTAAACTAAGTTTAAACTAGCACTGAGAAACTGGCCCTTAGGCATTTAGTGATCAACTTTTTTTTATCGACATTTAAAATTGCAAATGCCATCAAAAGATACTTTAAAGCGAGATCTCTCCACTCTCTCTTAATGTGGAATCAATTCTTCAAAGAGCACTCAGTCATTTGCCTTCTACCGCCACTCGTTTGTCAACTACTTAATTCGCCGCCATTTCACATAGTAAAACAGAACTAGTCTTCTAACTGAATCNAAAAAAAAAAAAAAATAGGTTTGTGAATTTCACTAAACTGATCATGACGATCGGTCATACTCCAAATCTACGGTTATTCATTTTTTATGAACTATTTCTTGCCTCGCTTAATTACATACTTACCCTTTAATGCTCCTCAACTGCTCTACTAACTATGTATGTACACCGCTTGCATGATCATTTCGTCTCGCG